CCTTGCGTTCATGAGCTGCACAGCTACTCCGGAGCAGGATTCCAGAAGTTACCCCAGTGAGTCTCCCGCCTCCGCGGAAGCCAGCCTCTGGCATTGCATTCCAACCGGCCACACCCCGCTCCTTGCCCCTCCCCTAATCTCGGCAGAGCTCTGGGCCCTGGGGCTTTGCCCCGCAGGGGACATCAGCTTTACTCACCTTTTGGTGTGATCTTGGAGAAGTTTGACTTATCTTTTAGAATAAGATTTGCTACAATAATAATGTTCTTGTTTAACCTCAAAATATTTTTGTGTTAAAGTCTTTTATATATCCCTTGGATAAGAAGTGAATGATAATTACTTCCATTTTTCAAATGGGGGTGATTTAGGCAGGTTTTCTTAATTGGCCAAATGGAACAAAGCATTTAGGGTGTCACTATCAGCTTTTGAAGGTGTTTTGGTTTGTTTTGGATTTTAGTGCTAGTTTTAAATCCTGCCATGGCCGGTAAGAAGGTGAGTCTTTTGGGGCCTGGGTTACTAGCTCTGAGAACAGGTCATTTTATCTACCTTAATCAAGGCCACTGCATAGATGCCCCCTTCTTAGATTTGATGTAGTTGTATCCATAAGAAAATTTATACACGAAAGTACCAGCCTTTCAGGAAGTGGCCACAGATTAAAGAATTACACCCCGCGTTAAATTAAATTAAGTCATAATTAAATCACTTTAAAATATGTTCTGGGAATGGTAACATTTTGTGGTACTACAAAGCCTTCTCCATGACGCATAGTGCATGAATCTCCATATTATATACTATGTTAGTAACATGTTGGTTTGAAACGAGGTCAAAACTTACAGAATGCAGTTAAAATGCAGAATAAAAATTTTATGCAGAATAAAAATGAGTACTGGGTTAAGAAAAGGAATAGAACCGTTTTACTACAGAAACATGAACTGTTGATTTGAGAGGAGTGTTAGATTTGAACAGCAAAGAGAAATACATCACATATCTTCCTACTTTTCCTGGCTTCCGCTTCATATTGCTATTGGAATGCAGTCTGGAATGACTTGAAAGGGAAGGGTTCTACAAGTCTTGCGGACAGAGGGCATTTCCCTGAACTGTCTGTGTTAGTCATTTTGTAAACAGGGATAATGAAGACACACAAAAAAACAGATGAAAGACTTAAGTAAACAATTCACAAAAGAGGAAATTCAGTTATTTAACAAACAGTAGGGAAAAGATCCAGCTTAATAGTAATCAGAGATGTGCAAATTAAACACTACTGGGAGATCATTTAACAAAGTGTTTTTTTTTTTTTAAGGATAATACTATGACATCAGAGGGAAAGCTGCTTTCTTTTATATGGCTAGAGGCAGCACCACCTCATTGATCTCTTTAAAATATTGGCAACAATACAAATATAAAGTAAAGCATTAAAGTATTTTATGCTTTTTGAACTAATACTTTCACTCTTGGTATTTAAACAAATATGGGAAGTATACAGTAACTTGTTCTCAGGGCTATTTGTCCTACCCAAAAGGAGGACTAAATAAATGTTCAATAATATGTTAAAGCTGACTCATCCTTAGCAAAAACATTGTGAAGCAATTAAAATTACTTTATTGTTTCTAATCACATAGAAAAATTCATGTTATCATGTAATGTGAGAAATCAAGTCATAAAAGCCATGAAACACTGATTTTTCTAAAAGGTGAAAAAAGGAGCTTCCCTGATGTTTCGAAGGGTTAAAGCACAGCACTGTGACAAATCCACAGCCACTGCAGCATGAGTTCCATTCCAGGCCAGGGTGCTGACCCATAAGCCATGCTAGCCCTCTCCTGTCCCATCTGCTGTTCCCCATAGCAGTGTATTTCAGTAGGTTTTCCTGTTCTGTTCCCTACTTTGTCTCTGGTGAATCCTCTCACCCCCCTGCAACTCTGGCCTGCACCCCAATTCTTGTATGCATAAATAAATAAATCTTAAAAATAAATAAATAAATGGTGAAAAAAATCCAGAAGAAAATACATTAAAACAGAATGCAATTGCCTTCAAATTGATAATTCTTTTTGCTTTTCTGTTTTCACTATTTTAGATTGCTCACTTATATCTTTTATAATAAAGACAAAAATGTTTAAAGTAGACAAAAAGCAGAGGCTTTTTATTGTTGCTCCCTTTCTAAATACAATCTAAAGGAAAATTTGTTGTTGTTTCTTTAAAGATTTATTTATTTATGCATACAAGAAGTGTGGTACAGGCCAGAAGTGCAGGGGTGGGGGATTGGAAGAGTCACCAGGGACAGAGTGAGGAGCAGAACAGACAGACTAACCAAATTACACTGCTGAGGGGAGCAGTGGGCGGGTCAGGAGAGGTCTGCTGCGCTATGTGGGTCACCTCCCTGGCTGGGGATCAAACCTGTGTTGCAGTGGCTACAGATTGCTTCATAGTGCTGCACCTCAACCCTCTGTGCCACCAGGGAGGCCCTAAAGGAAAATTTGAATTCCCTCAACCCCAACTCCTACTAAAACCTCTCATTTACTACTACCTTTTGTTTTATATACTATCTTAACCTATATTAATTAGATAATTATGTGTTTATCCAAACAAAAGGATGTTCCTGTTTCCTTATAATTCTTTATGAATGTACAATATTAAACAACTTTGTTCAGGGGCCTCCCTGGTGATACAGGAATTCAAGTCTCAGCACTATCAAGATATCACCAGACACTGTGACATGACTTCAATCCCCATCTAGGGCGGTGACCCACATGGGTCAGCAGACCCCTTCTGTCTCACCCACTGCTCCCCTCAGCAGTGTATTTCAGTGGATTTGCCTGTTCTGTCCCCCACTCTGTCTCTGATGAGTCCTTTTCCCCCCCACTCATCTGGCCTGTTCCCCAATTCTTATATACATAGATATATTTTAAAAATAAATACAACTTTAGATTCTTTCCAGTTCATATTGAACTCTTAAAATTCTAATTGTTACCTCAGAAGCTAGAACTTCTCAAAATTTAATTGTGTGAACATATTGTTATTTTTCAAAAAAAAAAGAAAAAGTGGCAAAAAAAATTATTAAAAGGTAGTATTCCATAGAGGAATATCCAGCACTTAGGGAAAAGAAAGACTAGAGAAGCAGGAAATGATGGATATTCAAGGAAGGGGTGGAAAGGGATCCTTTGACATAAAACCTGTCAAGGAATAGAATGCCAGGCCTCCTTAGTGGCCTATGGGATAAGTCTCTGCTTTATCACTGCTATGACCTAGTTTGATCCCTGGCCAGGGAGCTGAACCACATATAGCACAGCAGTCCTCACCTATTTTGCCTGCTGCTTCCCTTGGCAGTATATTTCAGTAATCTGTCTGTCCTGCTCCCCACTCTGTCTCTGGTGAATCCTCTCATCTCTGACCTACATTACAGTTCTTCTACACACACACACACACACACACAGAGGTGTAGAATTCTACTATATGTGGAATATATAACATTGTGAATTATTTGCATGAGGCAGTGTATCATTGGGTTGGATTTGTATGATACCACCTAAACTTAAAGTCAAGTAGGTAAACCTACTTAATGAGATTTTGAAAGACCAATGGGGCCTCCCTGGTGGCACAAGGAGTTAAAATGCAACACCATAAAGCTGTGTGCAGTATGAGTTTGATCTCCAGCAAGGGAGCTGAGCCCCCACAACAGCAGATCTTTTCAGTCTCATCCTCTGCTCCCCTCAGCAGTGTATTTCAGTTCATCTGCTTGTTCTGCTCCCCACGTTGTCTCTGGTGAATCCCCTCACCCCGACCCCCACACCTCCATTCTTGTATACATAAGTAAATAAATCTTTTTACAAAAAGAAAGACAGACCATTGAAGTGTCAGCAGAATTCCTGATGGAAACTTGTTGGAGGGGAGCAGAAATGACTTACATCAGCACTTCCTGCAGTTTCCAATCCTCCTCTTTTTTCTTAAAATACTTTCTGAATTTATAACTTCTGCTAGGAACATGCACATATCTTTCGGAGCTGAGTTTGATTAATTCCACTTGAATATCAATGACTTCATTCTATCAGCTGTTCTTTAACATATGACTCTGAAAACAAAAAAAGTAACAAATGGTGCAATTTATTTTGTCCTTAATTTTGCAGTAATAAACTAAAGATGAATGTGTCTTCATTTTACAATGTTTGTTGTTAGGACTGGTGTGTCAGATTTAGCAACCCATTATTTGTTGTCTCCTGGGATTCATCATTTTTCCTTCATTACAGCATTATGAGCTAACAGCCCTGTAAATGCTCACGCCCTCTGTACATTCCTTTCATGCTGCTCACCCATTATGGGTTATTGCCATCTGGTGGAAAAACAGGGTTGACTACCAGATGGTTGTTTTGAAATTTCCGGAAGTAAAGTGAAGTCATTTTTATCAAGGACAAAATGCATTTATTTGTCACATGCATATGCTGGGGTTTTAAAACAACAACAATCAACTTTTATTCCAATTCTCACTTAGAGGAATATGCTACAAGTGCATTTGCTAAATAAATGGTGCTTGACTTTCTATAAAGACCACAAGGAAAGTTGGGTCACATTTTAAGACACCCTAAGTATAAAGCAAAAATGAGAAAACAAACACAGCCAAAATGTCTCATTTACCTTTCCCTTCACCAGGGAAATATGCAGTAGTAGATATTTTCCACTTCTAAATTCTATAATAGCATACTTTTTTTTTTTCTTTTAACTTCTTTATTAAGTTGGTAGCGTAAAAGGTATACATTCCATATTGACAATTCTTGACATGAACAAAAGCAACAAAAATAGGCAATAGTAAGATGTGTTTTACATATAAACAATCATGTTGCAAGAATAGGTAATCCTACCCTGTACAACAAAATAGCAAAATGTGAATAAGCCTTCTATTTAGAACATACCCAAATGTATGTGCAGAGCACCCATAATATAGTTCACTTAGGTTCCTTGTTTATGATGCATAATTCCTTAATCACTCATTTGTGAAAATAAGAATGAACATAAAGAAACACAGAATCCAAATCTCATTTATTTTCACAATATCAATGCAGCAACTTCATTGACTAAATGTTAAGGGACTCAAAAGTAAAAGGTAACTTTAATTTTTTAACCCTATGAACAGGGTCTACAAAGAAACATGAATTATTTTACTCAAAGGAGACTAAGTCTCAGCCTGCACTTAAGTAGCATGAGCAACAAAGGACAGCGAATACCACCGAGTAATGCCCACATACAGCAAAGTAACTAGTTGAACCATGTTCTTTTTACTTATATAGCAAGTAAAAAACCAACATAATGGAAGCTTACACCTCATTTGACAGAATTACTATCAGCTACACATGTATGGAAAATTCCAAACTCCACTCCTCAAATAATTTTAGCACACCTAGTAAGAATGGTAGGTCATTCAGAAAAACAAGAGATAAAACATACACTGTCTTTGCATTTAAAATTGTTTTCATAACATATAAACAATGTTCTGTTATAAATTCTCAACTAAATGGTTTTTTTCTAAATATGATTTATGTAATCAAGGTTCTCTTAAACAAAGACAGGTCTTAGGTATATGATCTGTACAAACTTACTGTAGTGTATATTCCTAATAGAAATTTTCTTCCTATTATGATATGACAATATAATTCTTCTGAGTGAAGATATATGATAAGGCTTAAAGTGTAAACACTTTGGAAGGCAAACAACTTAGTGAAGGAATTACTGCTCATTGAAAAATGTGTATCATCTCATAATAGGCCCCTGAATTTTCAAATTTACATGTGAAAATACATTTACATCTTAAATTTCTAGGAAAGGCACAGGCTTTATGTAAAAAGCAGCAAAATTTTAAACCCACCAATTTATTGAAAAAGCCATTACTTTATTAGAAACAAATAATGGTTCTCAAGATTTGGCAAAAGGTCGTAAGATAGATGTATATATTTCATCCAGTGTGTTTCTCCTTTTAATTATATTCCAGTAGGAGGTGGAATACCTCCTTGGTTATGGGAAGTAGAAGTATTTGATGGACTGTGTAAGCTGGTCTCCTTGTACACAAACCATGCATTTCCTCCCCAAAGTATCATATTCAGGAAGCCAAAGATCACAGATACATTTAGGGATCCCATACTAGTGACAGAGATAAAATGACACATCACTCCCGTATTATGACAAGGCTGAAGTTCCTGGACAATGTTGTGACCGGTAGCTATCTTAATATCTGTAAGAGCTTTAGCCCAGGCGGAAGTGCTCACCAACCACAAAAAAGTGACAACCAGAGTAACAACAAAGTCAATCATGGGAAATTTTCGACTATCCCGATAGAGGTTTGTATAACCGACATAGAGCAGAAGAGCAGCCATGCAGTACAGGAAGACAAAGACGGCAAATGTAACATAGAATTGTGCAGAGGACGAGTAGTCTCCAACAAGAACTTGACTACTCCAGTCTGTATTACACACATTCGACTGTGAAACTGCTTGAAATGACTCTTCATTCAACCTGAATGGATAAGCAAAAGTGGCAGTAATTGTTTTATTTTCCTGAGGACAAGATACTGAAATGTCTGTTTTACCTTTAAAACCTCCACAGGTGGCAAAAGCAAAGATAGAAGCAATCCACTCGAGAACCTTGATGAAGCCCAGCGGCTCCTTGAGCGGGTTGAGGTTGAGCTGGAAGGAGGACATTCTCTGAGGGAAGGAGGGAGAAAGAGTCAGGACGGTGGGGTGGAGGAGGAGGGGACCGACGAGATCGATCAGCCCGGCGGCGAGGAAGGCTATAATAGCATACTTTAATCATCGTAATAGCATGCAAGTATTATTTAAAATGTGACAATATGACTATAATTAAAAATAATGAGGAATTTCTATTTACCTATTTGTTACCAACATTATCACAATTTTCAAAAAATCTAAATTAGATAAGATAGCAGGCCTGAATTCCTCAAAACTGTGAACATTATAAGAGACCAAAACTGGAGTGGGAGTGTTTCAGATAAAGAGGTTAATGAGACATAATCACCAAATTCTTGATTGGATTGTGATTATGGTGAAAGAAAAGGATAATTAGAGAAATTTGAATATGGTTTTATATTACCTAATATTGTATAATAGTTTTAAATTTCTCAGGTTGTATAGTGCTGCTATGGTTATATAAGAGAATGTCTGTTTCTTGGAAGAGACAGGATAAATGTTTCAAAGTGAAACTTTCAGTTGGTTGAAAAACATATAGCATATATATGTAGCAAAATGTTAATACTTGGAGGATGTAGATTAAGGGGTTATGGATATTCACTGTCTTTTTCTTTTCATAGGCTTCACATTTTTGAGAATAAAGTCAGGAGGGAAATATATAAAACTGAAGAGCGTAATCTTTTTAAAAAACTTTAAAGGAAGGATGTGGTTCTTTGTCAACACATAATTCAAAATGTCACTGATAACAGTGAATAATTGACTGAGTATATCAGCCTAATCATAGGCCTGTTTGTTTTATTACTAGATGTCAGCCTATGAGTAAGATTATTTAACAAGCAGCATCAAGTAGTTTCTGCTTCCAGCCATGATGGAACAATAGGAATTGGAATTACACTTCTGTCTTTTGGACCAAATATAAGAAACTCTGATTTCCAGACATTGGACAGTAGGAAGCTCAGGACAGTGTTCCATAAGAGATGGGAAAAAGATGTGGTGAACTCTGTATTATCTGGGCTTACTTTTTAGTGTTTCAAGCTCAAGGAGGTGGGAAACCCAGTGTCCAGGGTTCCCAGAGTTGAGGTTAACAAGTTGCAATTGATGAATCAAGTTGAAAGTGGTTATAATTTGCAAGGCATAGTTAGTCCTAGAGATGAAAGAACATTACAGAACAGGAGCTTAAGGAAAATGTAAAGGGTTCCCTCTGTCTTCATATGAGTATTCATCAACACACACCTGTGAAGAAACTGCTTGAGGGTTGAGAAAGCACCACTAGAATGGAGAAGGCAGAGCAATCCTCCAATCAAACAGGTATAGGAATAGTTGATGTTAACACCAGGCTGAATGAAATCCCTTTAATCGTGACATTAAAGGACATAGAGAAGACTAATCAACAGTAGACTAAAGTCTATTTTTATTCCATCTAACAATTTTTTAAAAGATTTTATTTGCTTTTGTGTAGAACTGGGATGTAGGCAAGATGTGGGGGGTGGGGAGGGAGAGTGAGTGGATTCACCAGAAGCAGAGTGGGGAGTAGAACAGGTGGATTTACTAAAATACACTGCTAAGGGAAGCAGCAGGCAAGATAGGAGAGATCCTCTCGGGCCGAAGATCCAACTCAGTTGAGGTGATACCACTGACAAACCCTAGGCTACCAGGGAGGCCCCCCATCTAAAAAATTGGTAAAGTAAGCTTTAAAAGAATCAATTGGAGGCCCTCCCTGGTGGCACAGCAGGTTAAAGCACAGCACTGAGAAGCTAAAGCCACTTCCACATGAGTTCGATTCCCGCCTGCCCCGGAGGAAATCCACATGGCGTGGCAGACCTCTCCTGACCCACCCGCTGCTTCCCTCAGCAGTGTACTTCATAGATCTGCCTGTTCTGCTCCCCACTCTGTCTCTGGTGAATCCTCTGCCGCTCCTGCACCTCTGGCCTGTATCCCAGTTCTGTATGCATAAATAAATAAATCTTTAAAAAAAAAAAAAAGAATCAATTGGCTTCCATCTTACTTAAACGCACCCTAAGACAAAGTTCGAAAGATTTTAATAGGTGTACCTATATATGTGTGTGTGTGTGTGTGTGTGTGTGTGTACCCAACACTGTAAATTTTAGAGCCTGGCATCTAATAAAATTGTAGATTTTTTAAAAACAGGAAAATATAACCCCAAAGAAGAGGGAAAATCTATCAATTGAAACAAATGTAGAAAAAAAAACAAATGTAGAAAACGAACATATGATAGACTTGGTGGATGAGGATATCAAAAATTATAAATAAAGACCCCATGTTGGAGGCAAGACAGAGATACATAGAAAATGTAATTATGAACCTCTAAAAGCAGGCTTACAGGAAAGGATTAAAAACAGATCAGGCAGCTGTGAAGAAAATATTAATGAACTTGAAGGCAATATAACATAAACATCCCAAATGACCCACATAGAAAAAAAAGATTGGCGGGAAAAAAATGAACATTAAACTATGGAGCAACACAAATGAATCACAGATATGTGTGGTCAGAAGAAGAGCGGTGGGGGGGGGGCAGGGAGTAATAAATAAATTTTCAGTATATTTGATGAATATTTTACACTCACAAGCTACTGTAAGGGGAGGCGGCCTGGGCAAGGCTATTAAGATCTTTCGAACTTTGTCTTAGGGTGCATTTAAGTAAGATGGAAGCCAACTGATTCTTTTAAAGCTTACTTTACCAATTTTTTAGATGGGGGGCCTCCCTGGTAGCCTAGGGTTTGTCAGTGGTATCACTTCAACTGAGCTGGATCTTCCGCCCAAGAGGATCTCTCCTATCTTGCCTGCTGCTTCCCTTAGCAGTGTATTTTGGTAAATCCACCTGAAACTGGGACTGTTACTGTCTGCATACTGGGAGCCTCCTAACCTGAGCCCCTTAAATTCTGGGAACTGCCTACATTCTGGGAACTGGTAAGCGTCCTTGATGAATCAGTTTCTGAAAAAGCAACTTCCATGCCCTATAAAAGCTTACCCGGGTTCCCCAGCGGGCGCGACTTCTCACCCCTGTGGGGGTTGATGAATCTACCTCAGGAGCGTGATTACGTTCCTGGCTGTTAGAAGCTTTGCCTGACTCTTTCCCTCAACTGCGCAGAAACTTTCAGATACCATATTGCTCAATGATTCCCCAAAACAATCTGATAAAATTTGTGAGCCTTGATAACTGATTGCTTAAAACTAATAATAGAGAAGAAAAAAAAAAACCTTAAAATCAGTCAGAGAAAAAAACACACAGAGTAAACACACAGAGTATACCTCTCAGTGAAAATATGAAAATCTTTTGGATAAAGCAATATCTTTACCTTAGCAAATTAAAGAAAAAGCCAACTTTGGATTTCTTTACCTGCCGAAAATATCTTTCACAGTGGAAAGTGAAATAAAGATATTTTGAAAGAGAAAGAATTTAAATGTACTCTCTGAATCATGAAAGGTTGATTTTTATTTCTACTCCTATTTTTCTTAATGTTCCAGTATATAAAAAAACTAGATTAATAAAATCAATGCAGAGCTATTTCAAGGGTAGAGCTTTCAAGATGAGAGCTTTTTTTCCCCCCCCCCCAGAACTTAGTTAATATTATCAAGATAACTTGACGTTTTTCTGTGAACTGAGGTAAATATTCCCACCTCTTATTTCTCCTTTGAATTGATGTGTTATTTGAATGATCTGTCCTTTTAAACAGATTTGTTAAGAGTCCTGACTGTGTGTGTGTGCATAGGCAGATCTGGGGACATTTTTAAAAATAATATAATAGCTTATTTCTGCATCATTTTGTGCATTTTTTCATCTCAGTTGTAACCCCAGGGGCCTTCCCATCACCAATCACCCATGTGCCATCACTATAGCCCAGTGGATTTCCTTCCCCCCACCCGCACTGTTTCTGATCCTATTCCTCACTCCACGCCCATAAAATGTCTCTGGTATATAGTTATTCATTATTATTATTATTTTCTCACCTTGTCCGATAATACTCCTGCTATGAGTGAAACCACCCTGTATTTTTCCTTTTCTTTCTGATACCTTCTAGGTCCACCATGTTGCTGCAAAAGACACATGCTTTTTTTTGGTTGCTGAGTAATATTCCATTGTGTATATGTACCTACATCTTTTTAATCCAGTCATCTACTTTTGGGCATTTGGGTTGTTTCCATGTCTTTCCAATTGTAAATAAAGCAGCAATAAACAAGGGTGCAGGTATCTTTTCGAATCAGTGTTTTTGTGTCTTTTGCATAGATACCTAGGAGTGGGATTGCTGGGTCACATAGAAGCTCCATGTTTAGCAGTTTGAGGAGCCTCCAGACAGTTTTCCATAGTGGTTGTACTAGTTTGCATTCCCACCAGCAGTGCAGGAGAGTTCCTTTTTCAGATCTGGAGACATTTTTGATTGTCACAGTATGGAGGAGAGAGAGGAGCCACTGGCATTTAGTGGGTAGAAGCAGGAAGGGTGCTAAACATGACCTAGTGTATACTGTACAGGACAAGCCCCCCATAAAGAATCGTAATCTTATCAACGTGGAGAAGACTTTGTGTGTGTATATGTGTTTGTATGTATGTCATATGTATATACAAATTATTCTAAATATGGGATAAAAAGGGGTAATTTCTAGAGCCACTGTTTTCAATTGCAATGTTGACACTTGATCATTCAATTATAGTTAATTATTTCCAAATTGTCACTTGATGAGAGTTTGTAATTATATGTTGAGGCTCTGTTCTCTGCCTGGTACCCTGGTAGACTTGAGAAGTAGATATCATTCCTGCCATCTTGTAACCTGGTATATTTTTCCAGAGAATTGAATGTTACTGGTTTTTTTATTAGCCTAGAGTAAACTATTTTTAGATTTAAAAAAAGAGAGAGAAAGTGAACTGTTCAGTCATTTTAGCTCGAGATACAAATATAAAATTAAATGAAATTGGGCCCTCCCTGGTAGCGCAGTGGGTTAAAACACAGCACTAGAAAGCTACAGCCACTTCCACATGAGTTCGATTCCCACCCTGGAGGTGACCCACATGGCATGGCAGACCTCTCCTGACCTGCCCGCTGCTCCCCTCAGCAGTGTTC